TGAAGTAACCACTGAGCTACACCAGTGCGTCTATTACAGCTGAAAAATACGTACTTATACACAACTCTACTTGTTGTCGGGAGGAAAACGGTTAAATTAAGGACACGGGGGACTGTCGACGACAAGGAAGTTTGAACTGAACTATTTGTGGCACTTTGAGTCGTGACAGCGATATTTTTTTCATCGACACAAAGCATATACAGTACATTAGCGAGGGAGACAAAAATCAGTATGGAGGTTAGAAGATGGCCCCGAACAAGATTTAATCACACTTAAAGCCTAATAATAAATTTACAAGGTAATTTTGGTCACAGAATGAAAATAAGGGAACGAAAACGCTGCACGGCGGCCGCGGTTCGAGCCCACGTAGGGACGAAGAAGTAACCACTGGGCTACACCAGTGCAGCTGCTATTGCTGAAGAATAGTCAGTTATACGAAACTAGTTGTTGACGTGAGGAAAAAGAAGAGAAGGACACGGGAATCTCGACGACAAGGAAGTTGGACGGAACGACTTGTGACACTTTGAGCCAACACTAGATGTCCCCACGTCACCTGGTGGTGAACATGAATCCGCACGTGTCAGCAATATTTTTTTATCGACATAATACACATTAGTGAGGGAGACAGAAATCAGTATCGAGGTGAGAAGATGTCCCTAACCAAGATTTAAGAACACTTGTAGCCGAGTAATTTATTTACAAGGTAATTTTGGTCTCAGAATGAAAAAGAAAACACTGGATTGCGCCCGTGGTTCGATCCCAGTTTGGGATGGAGAAGATGCGAATTCTGCGTCAGAATTGATTCTTGATGAAGTAACCACTGAGCTACACCAGTGCGGCTACCACTGCTGAAATATGGTTAGTTAAGGAAAACTCTATTTGCAGGGAGAAAAATACTAAAATAAGGACAGTGGACGACAAAGAAGTTTGAATGGCACTTTCAGCCAACACTCGAGGTTCCCACGTCACCTGGTGGTGAACATGAATCCGCACACATGTCAGCAATATTTTTTCTCGACATAATACACATTAGTGAGGGAGACAGAAATCAGTATCGAGGTGAGAAGATGTCCCCAACCAAGATTTAAGAAGACTTGTAGCCGAGTAATTAATTTACAAGGTAATTTTGGTCTCAGAATGAAAAACCAACGAAAAGCTTATAATGGCGCATTGTAGTCACCTTCTGTCATGTTTCGTATTTGGCAGCAGGTGGCAGGCGTTTCATTCTGCTACCTACACACCTGCTGCCCATTTGTCTATTGAAAAACGGTTAGTTAGGGAAAACTCTATTTGCAGGGGGAAAAAAATTAAAATGACACTGGACGACAACGAAGTTTTAACGGCACTTTCAGCCAACACTCGACGTTCCCACGTCACCTGGTGGTGAACATGAATCCGCGCACGTCAGCAATATTTTTTCTCGACATAATACACATCAGTGAGGGAGACAGAAATCAGTATCGAGGTGAGAAGATGGCCCCAACCAATATTTAATAACACTTGTAGCCGAGTAATTAATTTGCAAGGTAATTTTGGTCTCAGAATGAAAAACCAACGAAAAGAAAACACTGGATTGCGCCCGTGGTTCGATCCCAGTTTGGGATGGAGAAGATGCGAATTCTGCGTCAGAATTGATTCTTGATGAAGTAACCACTGAGCTACACCAGTGCGGCTACCACTGCTGAAATATGGTTAGTTAAGGAAAACTCTATTTGCAGGGAGAAACTAAAATAAGGACAGTGACGGCCCGCCACTGGACTTTGACACCCCTGGCCAAGACTACAACCCAGAGCTCTATGAGCCACATTATGCAAAAAGCTATAAACCCAGCAAAACAGAACACAACTGGCGAGGAACTGGGTAAAATGATTGCAAGTGATTTCAGCCATTTCCAATCGTGGATAACAAAGGATTCAGAAGATGTACTCATGCTCTCAATCCCATGTATGCAATTCCAAGCAGGAAAACACTTTCTCAAAGAATCATCCCAGGCCTATATATCCAAGAACGGGTCAAAAAAGCCACAGTTGTTTGTCTAACAACTGACTGCTGGTCATCCCGAACCACTACATCCTACATGTCAGTTACATCCACTTTGTTGAAAATTTCAAAATGGTGACTCGTCTGCTGGATTGTTTTGTGTTCAGTGAAAGACACACTTCTGAGAACTTAGCAGAGGAGCTGCTCAAAGTGGCCAAAGAGTGGAATGTGGAAAACAAAGTGGTTTGCTGTGTAAGCGACAATGCAGCTAACATCACCAAAGCAATTAAAACCCTGAAATGGACCCATCACCCATGTCTTGCACACACCCTTAACCTGGTTGTAAGAGATGCTCTGAAGGTGATGAAGCCCACTGCGGACAAAGTGAAGGGGATAGTGGAATTCTTCCACAGGAGCACAACAGCCACACAGAAGCTCAAATCTACCCAACAACAGATGGGCATGCCTGAGCTGAAGCTCAAGCAAGAGTGTATTACAAGGTGGAATTCCACCTTTCACATGCTAAAACGGATCCTGGAGTCCAAGGATGCAGTCATCTCTACCCTGGCTGTTATCAATGCACCTGTTGATCCTCTGAGCCAAGAGGAATGGGAGGTACTGCAGGAGGCATGCACTGTTCTGGAGCCATTTGAGCAGGTCACTGTGGAGATCAGTGCAGACAGGTACAGTGTACAAATGTTATCACATTATTCTGTTATTATTATTCCGTTATTATCATTTTTATTAGTTGCTATTTTTGCATTATTAATATGAAAAGCAGATTAGACACGACCAGAAGTTATAATAGACACTGCTAAAAAAAAAAAAAAAAAAAAGCATAATTTTAACACTTATTGTTTACTCTTTTTCAGCTATGTTACAGCCTCTAAAGTGTTAATCTGTGCAAGGGTCTTCAGAAAGTGACAGCTGAGAATCAGGCCACAGTAACCACAGGGAAAGTGAAAGAGTTAGTGGATGCTCTCTGTGTATCCATGGACAGAAAATTTCACAGAATGGAATGGAACACTGTTCTGTCAGAAACCACCATTCTTGACCCAAGATTCAAGAAGCTGGCCTTCACTGACAATAGAGCGGTTATTGAAGCTCTTCAGAGAATAACTCGAGCAGCAGCAGCAAGATCCGGCCAGTCAACTCCACTGCCAGGGGGCCAAGAGTGAGAAGAGGCAGCAGAGCACCAACAAGAAGAGCCACAAGCATCTGCTCTTTGGAGGTTCTTTGAAGAACGAGCAACTGGAAGCACTACAACACGGAATCCTTCATCAGATGCAATTCTGGAAGTGAGATCCTATTGTGAGGAGCCCCTTTTCCAGAGAAGTGCAGACCCTTTGAGCTGGTGGGAGGCCAAGGATTCAGGGTACCCACGTCTTACACATGTGATGACACGGAGACTGTGTATTGTAGCAACATCTGTCCCCTCAGAGAGAATCTTCCCCAAAACAGGGCAGATATGAACAGAGAGGAGAAACAGGATCAACCTCTTAAAGCTGAGGCACTTGGTTTTTCTTCATGCCAATCTTCGCTAAAGACTAGCAAAAACTTTCACCTGGATGCTGCTTTTTTCTTTTTGTTTTACAAATTTTAATTTATAATTTGTTGTGTGGTAATCAAAGCTTACTTATGTTGTTTTACTGTAAATACAATAGTAAAAAGCTTATAAATACACACAGAGATTGGAACTTTTTGTTGACCTTGTTTTGAGATGGGTCTTTGTTTTTGTACTTTATAATTTATTTTTTGTAGCACTCCATGTTGTACTCCATGTTGAGTATGTTCAGAAGAATATAAATGAAGCCATATAAATAATACATATTTGATATAATATATATTTTTTACATTAGTAATTCGTTTTACACATAATTTTACATTATTTTTGGTACTAAATTAATTTAAGCAACAAAAAAAAAAATGAGGAGGAGCCATTTGGGAGCTGAAAGTGGAGAGGTTCTTTATTTTGGACTGCTGTCGTGGTCGGAGAAGGAACGTGAAAACACCACGTGTTCCTCTGCCGGACTTCCGAACAACTGCGCATGCTCCGTATATGCTCTGTGCTCTGTGGGCAGGCATCGCTAGTCGAACAAGCAAATACGATTCGCTCAAATCATTTCAAGATATGTGGCACTTTGAGCCAACACTCGATGTGCCCACGTCACTTGGTGGTGAACATGAATCCGCACACGTCAGCAATATTTTTTATCGACATAATACACATTAGTGAGGGAGACAGAAATCGGTATCGAGGTGAGAAGATGTCCCTAAGCAAGATTTAATAACACTTGTAGCCGAGTAATTAATTTGCAAGGTAATTTTGGTCTCAGAATGAAAAAGAAAACACTGGATTGCGCCCGTGGTTCGATCCCAGTTTGGGAAGGAGAAGATGCGAATTCTGTGTCAGAATTGATTCTGGATGAAGTAACCACTGAGCTACACCAGTGCGGCCACCACTGCTGAAAAATGGTTAGTTAAAGAAAACTCTATTTGCAGGGAGGAAAAATACGGACACAGTGGACGACAAAGAAGTTTGAATGGCACTTTCAGCCAACACTCGACGTTCCCACGTCACCTGGTGGTGAACATGAATCCGCACACGTGTCAGCAATATTTTTTTCTCGACATAATACACATTAGTGAGGGAGACAGAAATCAGTATCGAGGTGAGAAGATGTCCCGAAACAAGATTTAATAACACTTGTAGGCGAGTAATTTATTTACAAGGTAATTTTGGTCTCAGAATGAAAAACCAACACTGGATTGCGCCCGTGGTTTGATCCCAGTTTGGGATGAAGAAGATGCGAATTCTGTGTCAGATTTGATTCTTGATTAAGTAACCACTGACCTACACCAGTGCGGCCACCAGTGCTGAAAAATGGCTAGTTAAAGAAAAATCTATTTGCAGGGAGGAAAAATACTGAAATAAGGACACTGTGGACGACAAAGAAGTTTGAATGGCACTTTCCGCCAACACTCGAGGTTCCCACGTCACCTGGTGGTGAACATGAATCTGCACAAGTGTCAGCAATATTTTTTCTCGACATAATACACATTAGTGAGGGAGACAGAAATCAGTATCGAAGTGAGAAGATGTCCCTAACCAAGATTTAATAACACTTGTAGCCGAGTACCGGTAATTAATTTGCAAGGTAATTTTGTCTCAGAATGAAAAACCAACGAAAAGAAAACACTGGATTGTGCCCGTGGTTCGATCCCAGTTTGGGATGGGGAAGATGCGAATTCTGTGTCAGAATTGATTCTTGATGAAGTAACCACTGAGCTACACCAGTGCGGCTACCACCATTGAAAAATGGTTAGTTTAGGAAAAATCTATTTGCAGGGGGAAAAATATTAAAATAAGGACACTGGACGACAACGAAGTTTGAACGGCACTTTCCGCCAACACTCGACGTTCCCACGTCACCTGGTGGTGAACATGAATCCGCACACGTGTCAGCAATATTTTTTCTCGACATAATACACATTAGTGAGGGAGACAGAAATCAGTATCGAAGTGAGAAGATGTCCCTAAACAAGATTTGATAACACTTGTAGCCAGTGGCGTTCCGTCAGGGCCAGCAAGGCCTTCTCTGCTGGCCTAAACATTCTCAGAAAAGTAAATTTCATAAATGTACTTTTCTGAGAATAACATCAATTTAATTTGTTGTTTTATTTTCATAAATATGTAAACAAAATTATTCTCTGTATTCTTTACGTCATATTATTTCCACTTCGTAAATAATAACTTATTTATTATGGTAGATTTCTTAACCAATCATATTTCAGCTAGCTTGTGTTGCCAGGTAAATTAAACTTGCTCAGGGCCTACAGATTAAACAGAGCCGGCCCCTGTGCGCTGTAAGTGAACGGGCACAGTCAAATTGCAATAGACTCGTCTGCGTACTACGGCCAGCTAGAAGGCCTTACGTCGAGACTGGCCGTGCGCGTTCGGTGATTGGATTAGCGCCTTTTCTGTTTACTGAGAA